GCAAAGCACAGGGACCGCGGTTCAATCCCCCAGCACCACATGCCAGCCAGCCCCGCCCCCTGGGGGGGGTGAGCTGGCCACACACACACACACACACATAAAAAATAAATAAATTTAAAAATAATAATATTTTATTGTCAATCATAAAGAAGACCTCCCTGACACTTGGGTTCCCTTATTCTTTAATTTCAACACTCTTGTGCTCTGATAAATGTGCTTTGACAGCCAAAGATTAAGAACTAGGAATTCTAAACCTATAAAAAGTGTGTTGGGGCTTAGGGGATAGGTCAGTGGTCTAAGCGCCTGCCTGGCAAGTACAAGGACCCAGCTTTGATCCCTGGTACCACATGCCATGCCAGCCCAGAACCACAGGTGTATTGTGCTGGCCACCAAAACCAGGCATGGTGGCCCATGCCTATAATCCCAGCGCTGGAGAGACTGTCAGGAGGATCACTATGAGTCTGAGCTGCGTAAAGAGACCCTGTACCAAATAAATAGGGTTTTTAAAAAAGCATGGTGACAGAGTGAGGAAGGTGAACAAAGGAGATAACATCTCTGGCAACATGTCACATCAGAAGAGGTCAGAACTAGCCCGGTTCGATCCCCAGCACCACATACCACGCCAGCCCTGCCCCCAAGGCAGCCTGAGCTGGCCAAAACACTGCTGGCATGGCATGTGGTGTTGGAATCCAGCCATGGTCCCTACGCTTGCCTAAGCAGGCGCTTTAGACTGCTGAGCTATCTCACCCACCCCCTAAATACATTTAAAAAAAATAAACTGTCTTAAGATACACATTTTTATCGTGTTATAGATACATAAATTCACCAAAAGAGTATGTCACTAAACCAAAACCTGTAATGCTGGGGTGATCATTAAACACAGTAGCCTTCTACTAATTTGGAAAGTTTGACTAAGCATGACTGGCCCAGGTGATGCTAGTCCTAAAACACCCTCACAGCCCGCTAGAACTAGAGAACGTGAACGAGGCATGAGCAGACAACTGCTGTGAATTCATTGTTATGACTTAACGCTATATACAGATTTCTAATCTTTGAGCATTGGAGCGAAGTGATGTGTGTAATTGTATATATTTTTAATATGCTCAATTTTAAAGTTTTGTTGAATATAATTTAAACATTGACAATTCCTAAGACAAAAGGATTTGGACAGTGCCTCCGAGTGATTTTCATGAACCCACAGTCTGTCTGTAGTCCTTGAATCTCACTAATGGAGTGGAGTGCTCTAGTCAGTGTACTGAGTTGACATTTAGGCCTCGCTTCTGCTTCCCACTTGGGTGTCTCCTTCAGTGGCGGCTCCTTAGCTACTGTGCCCTTCAGTCAGTGCAAAGCTGCTGCCGGCTGCTGGCCCACATTACTGCATCCCTAAGGAGAACAGTGGCTTGTGCTTATTAGACCTATACTACGTGCCAGGCATAGGGGAAGCACGTGACTCTCAACTCGGTCCTCACCACAGCCCTGTCACATGGGTTCTCTCCCTATCCATGTTCTGTAGATGGGAATCCCTTGGCTCTGAGAGGTTAGAGAACCTGCCCGGGTCGTACAGAGCCAGGCAGGTCCAGGTCCACACCGCAGAACCAAATGCTGGGTGCCAGCTCCGTGGCATGTAGACAGCAACAGCACACTGCCCATTGCCCACAGCTGCTGTTGCCTGTGCGGGCGCTTGCCTTGGCTTTCTCCTCACTCATGGGGGCAAAGTCTCACTTCTTTCCTTAGCGAAAAGGAGTTAGTTCTGGGTGCTGCCCTAATTCTTTCACCTCTAGAGATTTGGCTTCCAATTCTTAATTGTGGTGTTTACTTGGGGAATGATGTCCCTTTTTTCCTCAGATCTAGAAGAGAAGGTATTTCACAGGAAAGACTACTAGTGGCCACTATGTTTGATGTACTTAGACCCCAGATCATGCAGTTATTCTTCAGTGTTGGGCTCATGAGAAAATTGCTGGCTTGGCTAGCTCCACCTCTCCTGTGACCTGGAGAACACAAAGGAAGTCTGTTGGCTTAGGCTCCCCCAGTAATGTGGTGACAGAGGTGAATGAAGGAAACAGGTCCTGACTTCAGGAGTCTAGGAGTTTCATAGGTCAGAGAGCAAGAAATAGAAAAAGTCTACCAGGACTTCAGAACAGCCACCCCTCTTAACACGGAGGGAGACCCCACATGCACCATTGGTGTGCTGCAGACAAGGCAGGTCGTGGCTAGACAGCATGAGGCCAGTTTCTGTTTGATGGACAGGCTTGAGGCTGTGGTTGGTTTGTTGCACCATGGACCCAAGTGGAATGGATGAGGAGCTGGGCAGGGCTAAGTTCAAGTATGTATTCAGAATTCAGACTGTTAGAAACAACTCCATTACTCCCTGATCTGCAGTAATTTTTCTCTTTGATTAATCTCTGAACCCGTTTGCAGGGGTAGTCAAAAGCCTCCTTAGAGAATCATATATTA